TACTGCACAGATAAATTCCAATTTCACAGAAAAATCTGGTCGACTAAAAACACAGTCGAATCAAAAATACCCGGACGAAAATCTTCAAAATATAGTCAAAACGTGCACACCCGGCACGGCAACGATATCCAAAAAGTTACGCGGTAAAAACTGAGTCAATCAACAGATATGGACAAAAATCATTAACGAAAACGAAATCCGGACAGAATATACCGCCAAACACGACGGTTCTGAAAATTGAGAAAGGCGGAATGTGCCTTACTTCGAGCACAGCAATTTCCTCAACAGCCACTTCGGACGAAAACGGCTCCGCGTCGTCCGAAAATCGGCTTTTCCACTTTTTCCTTCGTTTTTCTCTCTCCTCAGCTTTTTCTCTCTCTTCAAAATATCTCATTGCTATATATATCCAGACTGATTGTCCTGGACGATCGAGCTTCTACCGGACGATCCATGAAGAGAGGAATTTCGTCCAGACGAAAAATGACATATCGTCCCAGGCGAAGGGTTCACGGGAGAATTTTCGTCCAGACGATCCTGATTTCGTCCAGACGAACCATACAGCCAAAACTGATTTTCTGCACAACCTGTACCGATCGTCCCGGACGATCCAACTTCGTCCCGGACGAACCTGGAGCAAAAACTGATATTACAGTCTCTACTGCTCGACTGCGGTCCTTTGACCACCGTTGTCCGATCATGAGTTTCCAATCATTGTCCATTGTCACTATACTACATTCTTACGGACCAAACAAAGGGCCAACAATCTCTTAAGAAGAGCTATCATGTAATTGGAATATTCTAACTCCATCCATATATTGTGCTATATATGATGTATATTTGTTACATTGTGCTAATAACTTCTCTCTAGGAAAGACATCATTTTTAATCAATGACAAACATTAGTGAAATAATTTCAAATGGTCGAGACCTCAAGGGTTTTCTTTTCCTTTTTATGTTTTTTTCACAAATATAATGTATATAAGTATTTAGGATTGATACGTCATCACAAATTTATCTTGATTAGGCACGAACCTCGAGGCAAAATCAGTTCGGAAACTTCAAAAATTAAGTTCGAGAGCATATGAACTCCGATTTCAGCGAGCTTACAGTCAAACTGAGCATCTCGGAAATACGAATCAAACGACACCAAATTCGACCCAACCCGAGTCCAAATGGGTCCGAATCAAGGACCCAAAGCGGTGTTGGAAGGTTCAAACCGCAATTTGAGTTACCAAACGGTCTTCGATTTTAACGAGCTTATACTCTAATCGAGAGGATTGACGAGACGAATCCAATGAGCCCAAGATCATCGAATTCCGACATCATTAAGGCCTTCAAATTTCCAACAAACGGTGCATGATCAAAGGATTCGATATCGGCCGTCCATTCAAACCACTCCCAATCCGCCCCTGATCTCACGCCTATTTACGGGCTATGCCACTCCAGAAAAACTACAAATATAGCCCTCATTCTACACCAAAGGAGCTCAAGTGAAGAGAGAGAATAAGAAGGGAAGAAGAAGATAAAGGGGAAAAGGAGAATCCCCTCCTCGACCACCGCCGGATCTCTTCCTGTCGCCCGAACACGCCGGGATTCTGCGTGATATTCGGGAGAATGCAGGAATTCTTCCCAACTTCCACATGATGTTGAAATTCTTCCCAATTTGCAACATAGTTTCCTCCTGACGTCGAAACTCTGCCCAAGTGAAGCCGGAGTTCTCTTTTGCCACCAACAGACGTCAGACTTCTACCCGACGTTGAACCTTCACTCTTCGCCAAGTTTCTACCCGGCGTCGGACTTCTGCCGGTTACCGGACTTCGCTGGACGTTTACGCGAAGATGGATTTCTTTCCATTGTTGGACTTCTACCTGATGTTGTCCTTCTGATCTTCGTCGTCAGATTACAGTCATTTTGACCTCCGTTGCCAGTCGACTACGGTCCTCCTGACTTACGTCGCCCGTCGACTACAGTCTTTCCGACATTCGTCGCCCGTCGACTACGGTCCTCTTGACTTATGTCACCCACCGACTACAGTCTTTCCAACCTCCGTCGCCCGCCGGCTACAGTCCTCCTGACTTATGTCGCCCGCCGACTACAGTCTTTCCGACCTCCGTCGCCCACCGACTATGATCCTCCTGACTTACGTCGCCCGCTGACTACAGTCCTTCCGACCTCCGTTTCCAGCTGACTACGGTCCTCCTGACTTCCGTCGCCCGCCGACTACAGTCCTTCCAATAAAGCGAATATGTCAATAGTAGCTCTTTGTATTTACATCATGTAATGTACTCTATAAGATGTACATCAAGCTAAGGCCTTCACCCAAGGAAGGGCCTCAATTGTAATCGACTGCAAATACTAGTAGATTCGTTCAAACTGGGCTAGGCCTCATGGGTTTTCCCCCTTTTTTCAGGGGTTTTCCACGTAAAAATCTTGGTGTCTCATAAATGCTAGACCCTCTCTCTTATCTGATTGCGTGCCAGATTTTCGTACAACGCTAAGACGATAAACTTTATATTTCTCTACCGCCGCGAATACTCTTGGACGCAACCAGGATAAAAAAAAGCTTTTATCATGTTTTCTTAAGAATATAAAAAAATCACATATCTTAAACTTTAGAAGTACAATAAGTATTATTTCATGAGAACTACTACTTAATTTTAATTTATAAGCATCAAGTTTGACTTTAAAAAAGACATTATTTAAATTAACGTCAATTTCTCACTCTTTTTTCAAACCATTGCCTCAAATTATTTATACTTAACCCTAATTTAAGTGATATGATTTTTATTAAAATTTATATTTGAACACAATTTTAAAGTATAATTTAAAATTTTATACAGACTATAAACCTTTTTTCTTAAATAATAAAATTTTAAAACCATGTAGTAGTTTTAATTAACGGGACATCAACCCCACTAATCTAATAGCTGAACTAATAAGCCAAAATTATACAAACGGGTCAAACTTTAGTTAAGATTCATAGGAAAGTTCTTGAGCTTTCTTGAGCTCTTCTTGCAGGAGAGAGTAGAGGGAAGAGAAAGACATAAATTTGAAGGAGGAAAATTTATACTAAAGCTTTATTTAAAAATTTTCCCAAATAATACATCTCATAAGATCTCTATTTATAGAGTTTTACATTGTTATGATAACCAGCATGAATAACATATACTAAAACTAGAAGTCTAGAACAACACTTCACAATATAATCTTCGTACAATGCTAAGACGTTAAACTATATATTTCTCTACCGCCGCGAATATTCCAGGACGCAACAATACTAAAGCTTTATTAAAAAATTTCCCCAAATAATATATCTCATAAGATCTCTATTTATAGAGTTTTACATTGTTATGGTAACCAACATGAATAACATATACTAAAACTAGAGGTCTAGAACATCACTTCACAATATCCATATTGATTTTAGATTTAACAATCAAATAACCACCTATGCACCTACTGCAATCCAACTGACTTCATGTACTAACTCTACAAACAATCCTGTCAAATCGAGCTCACTCCCGAGCACAAACGACCTCCACATTGTGTTCCAAACCACGGATCCAGCTCATGCTCCAGCACCAAATCGTCAGTCTTCCTCGTACACACGCGTGACCTCCAACCCGCGGCCTTGTACTACACCTATCCGATTCTGAGTCCGTGACCAACATGTCGCCAAATTTCTTGATTTGATCCACTGCTCTGGCATACAACAATCGAAAGACCCTCCCATCGATCATCCCACAATCTGACTCGGAAGCTTCACCTCAAAGATCTAAACAGATCTTTAATAAAAAAAATGAAAAAAAAAAATCTTTTTTTTGAGTCAATATAACTCCAAATTGCAAACCGTCTTCGCCATAATGTTGTTATTATAGTATTTTACTTGCACTAAATTTTTTGTGATTTTTGGACACCGATGAAAATCCTTAAGAAATTGATACCTGTCGTTATATATATATATATAGTAAAGTCCTAAAATAATTAATTTGAATTTTCTATTAGAAAAAAATGATTAAATTAATAATATAATATTAAATCATTATTTAAATGAAAATATCCTAAGTCACTAATTAAAAACTTAAAAAATCCCATTTCCCTTTCTTCATTTTGACAAGCAGAGAATGTTAAGGATTTGGAGACTGCAAAATGATTTTCGTTAGTTGGGCCAGTTGGGATATTTGCTTGTCTCGCTGTAAGGAACATTTATCCTATTTCAATCTTTACTAATATTTTGATTTGATATTTTATCTGATTAGAGAGACATGACTGATTTATAGATTTAACACTCGCACTGAGTTAATATTTTACCAACTGCTGCACTGTAGTGTTATATGATGATTGTTTAGATCCTGAATGTTGTATATGATTTTTGGGATTTAATGTAGATGTGTACATATATATTTTAGATTATAGAATCCATTTTGTTGTTTATTACTGATAGATGATATTAGATAGCTCTGATTGTTTATTAAAAAAATAAATGAATAATTATTTCAAATTAGATTCTGAGGCATCACATTCTTGCCCCGGCATGTCTTAACGACAGCTTGCTCGGCTCCTATCTTTCTTAACTGCGCAAACCTTCATTATTTCTTTCTTGGTTGTCTCAACAAGGTTCTTATACCATTTGTTAAGATTCTTAGGAAAGTTCTTGAAATTTCTTAAGCTCAGAGAGAGAGAGAGAGGAAAATCTATAAAGCTTTATTTACATTTTCCCCAAACAATACATCTCTTAAGATATCTATTTATAGAGATTTACATTATTGCGGTAACAGCATAAATAATATATACTAAAATTAGATCAACACCTCACAACTTTGATTGGGATGACTTATTTATTGATTTTTAAAATAGAAGTTTAATGCAAATTTTTTTTTTAATTAAAACTCCCATATAAAAAAACAATAAAAAATAATTTTAAAACAAGCCCAAAAACTAATACCGTACGCCGCTGCAAACCCACAACACCATTCCGTAAGACACATAGCTTAGGATAAACTCGTGGTTTGCTACAATATCGTGGGGTTTCTCAGTAAAGTAGCCTACGATTTTGTTCGTCCATTCTGTTTACTCTCCCATCTTTTGGTCTCCGGCTCCGATCACTGCCGCTAGTGCTCTATACGGACTCTTCTACCCGTCGCGTACCAGCTGGAGGGAAAGGCAGCAGGAGGAGGAAGGAACAAGAGCATCTAAGCGGACGATTGGCTCAGGATCTCGTCCCTTGGCAAGTTTATCGCAGTGGGATTGTTTCTTCTTATTGACCAGGTACAGTTACGATTCGCGTTAAGTATTGATTTTTGGTGAATGATTTTGGTCGGTCCTTTGGATTTTATCAGTTGGGCAGGAATTGATGATGAAATAATTGCGGGAAAAATGATGCAGTCGTTTGCCCTCTACCATATTTCCCAACTAAAAAGTCCGTCTGTGCTTGTTTTATTTTCTCACGGTCGATCAATTTTCTTGGTTTTGCTGGTTTTTGCTTTTGGGGTTTTAGGAACTTTTGTGCTACAGGTCTCATGAAAAAGATTGTTTTCTACGCACGGTTAGGGCTTTGTACGAAATATTTGCTTGTTTAGCTTATGTACTGCGTGTTCCATTCCGTTTATTGTGCATAGATGATTCATCGACTGATTTCTGTCTCTGTATTTATATTTTCTGGAATATTTGGACAGGTCTGGTTATTTTATGTTTATCCATTATCGGGCGAAGGGCTGCATCAACGATTATTAAATTAATGAACAGTTGCGGTAGAAGTAAGTGACAATGGAAAATTCTTAGGCTTTGCACATGATCAAGTTAATTGTAGCCTCGATGCATCTTTGCTCTTCTTGCAAAGGATGAACTTCGTCAAGGGGGTGGCTGGTCTTCTTAAAAGATCATCTGGTGGTCAAGTTGGGGAAGGCGGTTCCTGGACTCATGCTGAGAAGCACTCAGCTCCTTCTCCAAGAATCCGGTTCAGGTAGGCTTCATTTCTTTGTCACAGATTGCACAGTGCTAGAAAATTTACTTACTTTTTATCTCTAAATTTGTAGTACATGATGATTTACAATCTAGCCTTGTTATTGTTTAATTTAATCAACTCCAGTATTCTGCACTTACTTCCTGCCCTGTTAACTTCACCCGCAGTATTTCCATTCTGCACGTTAGATTGAGGAGAAAGAAATGTCATGCTTTAAGGTCGCTAAGCGGTTAAAGCTTAAAAAATGGAGCAAGAAATCCTTGCAATATGGTTGTTCTGTAAAAGGACAGCCGAGATCTGCGGACTTACAATAAATCACATGCTCACGATCAGCACCGTCCATGTGTAAACAGAAGAAGTAAATCATAGCCATACATGCATACACTAGAGTACTATAAATACAAATGTACAATAGACAGTATAATGCAATGAAAAATAGCCTGACAAGACTTTAGTACGCAGAGGCTTTAGTATCATTCCTCTCTTGTCTTTTCCTATACTTAATTTTCTTTATGGTATCAGAGCAGGTCCTCTGTACAGACAGAAGATCTCACTAGGAGGTAAGTCATCTCATCAATTCCCATGGCTCAATCTTCTTCTTCCCAAACTGGAAATTCATCATCAGAACCAGTCATAGATTCGTGTATCATACCTGCATCTTAGAAATTAGTTATTTCAAACATTAAAACAATAGTACCCACCCAATTATCAAACGATAATTATCCCACATGGAAATCCCAAGTCACAAAACTACTAAGAGCAAATGGTTTTACCAATTTCATCGATCCAAATGTTTCCCCACCACCCCGTCTCCAGCAATCCTCCGATGGCTCAACCATCACCAATCCCAAATACACCAGATGGATTCTGATTGATCAGAACCTATCAGCAGCTCTTTGCTCCACAATATCTCCTGCCATTTTGCCATACGTTCTTCACCTAGAATTATCTGCAACCATTTGGAGCACCATTGAAAGAAGATTACAAGCATCCAACAGATCCCGAGTTATTCAACTCAAAAATGAATTACACAATGTTTCAATGAGACAACACACTATGGCTGAATACCTAAATGAAGTAAAAACATTGGTTGACAAAATAGCAGCCGCAGGAGCAAATATTGACAAAGAGTACATAATTCTCTACACATTAAATGCATAAGTATTGTTTGTGTAGATTTTTAGTAGACTAATGCATTCTTATGCCTCAAACTTGTGGTTTTATCCAAAGCTGTTCTTATTCATTAGTGCACGGAATTTGCACTTTTGGATTGCCACATAAATGCCCTTTCTAATCTGTATCTATTACATGTCATGCCCATATGAATGTGCTCAATATGACCAAAAAAAAAAAAAAGTTGTGGCTAGATTTTGTGGAAGAGTAAATAAAACCGAAGTCATAAATATTCTCATGTTCTAGACGTTCTTTCAGTAAATTGAATCTATTTTCAGAGTCAAACTCTTGAATTTAGAGTACTATGTTTGATAATTTAGCTTCCCAATTGTTGTAGTCATTAGACGCACTCATCTTTTCTCCATTTTAACTGTCAGTTCATTAATTTTCCCTGCAATAATCCTGAGTGATAGCGTGCCTCAAGTATTTGGGATTAAAGCTTCATTTGGGACAGTTTTCTTACTCTTTCTTAAAGCAGTTTTTTAATACAAAATTTTTAATTTTTGTACTAAAAAGCTGGTTTAAGCAGTAAGAAAGCCGTCCCAAACGAAGCCTAAGCCTAATGATGTTGAATTTAAATTGTTTATTTTTAATTTTTTCTTGTAAACTGATTGCCTGCAAACCTTTCTGTGTTACTCTGTACTCTGTATGATTGTTATTTATAATTGAAGGTTGTATTTAATGGTTGATGTTTAGAATGTTGCAAAAAAAAATTCTTAGATGAGCATTGAATTTATATAAAACTTAGTCTGTTGTTCTTACGATTTGAAGTTGTATTTGTTCTGATAGTCTACTAGCAAATTACTGAAGCTATTACTCTATGGCATGTTTTATTACTTTTATATCCACTTACGTTATGGGTTGTTTTTCATATTGTATCGAGTATGTTTCAAAACTATTAGGCATCATCTTTTGTGTATATGGAGAAATTTTTTGATAAGTGAACATAATCTATGAAGATATTAAATAGATTGTTCCAAACATGTTTTTTGTATCTGCTAGTGTTTTCAAATATGAAAAAGAAAAATAGACTTCTATGTGCTTCTAAAAAGACCTCACTAATAGAACTGATCTGTTTTTCTGTAATTATTTACAATTTTTTCTTTCTCAGTGAAACCAATGAAGAGGCAATTTTGAATTCACTTTGGCAGAGATATGAAAATGCCATTGACAAGGTAAAGTCGAAGAACAATCATTTTTTTGCAAGTTATTGGTCCAGTAAAATTAGGCAAATTCATTTTTTTAATCACAGAATAGTTTTTTTTGTCTTTTGATTTCAGATGTGATCTTTTAGAGTTAGTTTTTTTGCCCCAAGTTGAATAATATTACTTTAGGTAGGGATTAAAATGAACCCAGATTGAGTGAGTTCAAGTTTTGTTCGGCTCCTCTTGTTAAGCAAATGAGTCAAAATTTTCTGTCCAGTTTGTTAATTTATTGAAGATAAGTTGATCTATTCATGAACATAAAGTCTATTTAAAAGCCATATATATATATATATAGAGGAGAAATTTTGTGATCTTAAACAAATTGTATATTTTGTGATCGAGCACATCATAGAAAATAATATATTATCCTGATGGATAAAAATATTAACAGAGATTTTCTCCCTTTCAACATTTGGTTGAATAGAGCTTATTTTATTATGGGGTACAGATGCCCCATAGGGGCAAACCCCTATGGTTAATTATATCTCATGCATTTGGTACTTGAATTTTTTTTTGATTAAACTAGTGTTTTTTTTTTAAATTATCAAAATATTGGCTAAAGATCTTCATTTTGAAATTTATGAAAATCTTGTTTAAAGATTTTGCTATTTAGGAGTTTTATGGATGAAGAGATCAACTTTTAATAGATTTCTTGGAATGAGGGCCAAAGGAGTGAAGTGTAGGAGTACTTGATTATGAGGGAATACTCAGAGGTATTCGAACTATTCTATCATATATTGAGCTTTAGATTTTATAAATTAATATTTCTTAAAGTTGATAATTTTTATTTAGAATGTTATGGCTTATAATCTAACGACACGTGTTAGAGAAAATGCATGGAAGGTGAGGGCTTATGAAATGGCTGAATCTGACAACTGCCGTAGCGCCTAGAACTAAGGTGAGAACTATTGAGAGGTAGTGCCTCGAACCTAAGTCTAACGGAGTGCAAAGGGACTTAGAAATTACAACTCACTTGAGACATAGCTAGCTTGACCTCTTGATTTATTGCTCTGCATGGAAAGAACTACCAGCTAACCCATCTAAATGCTTTTAAAATCATAAAATTTGGTCTCAATGCATATGAAGAGTATGAAATGCTGTGTTATTTAGTGGATATGACTTTTAAAATCAACTTGACTTATTTTTAAATCTAATTTGCATTCTGAATTTTGACCCTAAACTTTCTTAAAACTCTCCTAAGTAGAGAGGCCAACGTGCAAATTTGCGGAGTCCATACCATAGGGTAGAACATGAAAAAACAAGGCCTTGTTCATGTTTAGCTTGTTAAATAAGTGAGCTTATAAAAACTAGTCAAACATGAGCTAATTATCATGTCAAATGTGATTGAATGTGAATACTGATTTTTTTTTTTTGAATGCACTAATTGCATGCTAAATTGATTGTTTTGATGTTTGATGGTTGAAGTCAAGTTGCAGCTTTGATAAATGATTGGGAGATGTTCACGGGATCTTTCTTGAGCTAATTATCATTTCAAATGTGATTGAATGTGAATGCTGATTTTTTTTTTTGAATGCACTAATTGCATGCTAAAATTGATTGTTTTTGATGTTTGATGGTTGAAGTCAAGTTGCAGCTTTGATAAATGATTGGGAGATGTTCACGGGATCTTTCTAAAGGTTTATTTATTTATTTGCATCATTTTGTTGTTGTCCTTGCAGAATTAAAAGCATATGATTTTTATATGCAGCAGTTGTATTTCCTAGTGCTTATTCTCAAGCTGCAGAAAGTTGGCGTATTAAGGAATTAGAAATAATACATGTAATTAATTTTTTCTCCGACAATGATTTCTTAAAATATTATGCACTACTGCACCAAACTTGGTGCTGCTTGAGTATCAAATAAATGGCTTCATGGCAGAGTTTGGTGGGACAAAGTGCTTCCTTAAGTGCGGGATAAGATGGATAATAGCTGATTAAACTGTTAATTGCGGAAAGACGATATATAATTAACCATTATGGTGTTTTTTGTGTACATCAGAGTCTAGACGAGCACGTTGGAAGACTACTTTGACACATCTTATATCTTTAGATTTATTTGAAACTTGAAAGTATTCGCTAAACCAGATTTAATTTGACATGCAAATCTGATCAAATCATCAAATGTAATTGTAGAAAGTGGATTGATAAAAGCAACTCAAAGTATTATGGAATAAGTTTGCTGCAGCTTGTGCTGGTTATCCTATGGTATACACAAGAATAGGAAAGCTATAATTCTACAGTCTAACCAAAATGTTAGAGTATAGCTAGATGCACAAGACCACGAGTCATAAACTACAGAAGATTTTGTTTCATAATACGAGCTTGAGAATTTTTTTTCTTCTAAATTTGTTATGAACTTTTATTTCAAATGGTTCTTAAAACTTGTAATAGACCTCAATCTAAATTTGCACACCTATGTGCAAATGTAAAAATTTCTAACTCTATTCAGAGCAGATACAACAACGTTTACTTGATTCTATTATTCTGCGGACTAGAACCCTCAATTTCTAGCTTCATATTTGGAACAACTCCTTTCCCAGACTTACAGTTAAAATAACCTGAAGTCATTTTCTGGTTTCATAACTCATTCAAACTCATCTGTGATTATCACCCTGAATAGACTATGAAAAATAAACTAAGAAGCTGTGGAAGTACTACAATCATCTTAAAGAAAATGATGGAAAACCACCTAGTGTTCAAATAGCATGGTCATTGTTAAAATATTTGTTTGGTATGACAATTATCTTTTAAGCTTTCAAAACAACTTGCTGATATAGGCAAAAAAGCCACTCGTCAAATGTAATTGGTTAGAATTGAAAAAGGCAATAAAGCTTCGCTGAATATTGTATGATTTGAAATGTTGGTCTTTTCAGATAGATTATATGGTCGTAAAATTTTATGCATCATGCATGATAATAGCAGCCTTAAGGGTTAGGAAATCTCAGCAATCAATACAGTCTTGACTTGTTTGGTATCTTTGTTTGGCTGCATTTATTCAAGACCCGGTTAGTGCATGTGCATAAAGGAAGTTTCCTTACTTATATTATATTTTTACTTGAATATTTCTGTCTTCATCTACCTCATTATTTTGATTTCTATTTTACATCATTAATTTGTTTTTATAGGTGGAAAAGAGAGAATCGTTGCAAGTTTTTCTTTTGCACTTCATACAGGCTTATGAAAATTGGGAGCCTGAAAATAATGGCGAGTTATCAGCTGAGTGGCCATCATCAGATGATATAATTATTGGATGTTCCTGTGGGCATCCATCCGAAGTCATCCTTATTCTTGTTCAAGAAATTGCCCGGTTAACTTCTCTTGTGTCTGAGTGTAAGTGAACTTTTGCATGCATCTTCAGGGTTCTTTTTGCCCTATTTCATCTGCTGGATTGTTGCCCTATTTCATCTGCCGGATTGACGAAATTACTGACTGACAATTTAAGTTCCTGCACTGTCTTCTACCTGGCGGGTTTCCACCCGTCAGCAATTTAATTTTTTATTTTTTTGTACAATTCAAACTTATTTGTTTTTTCTCTCTTTTGGAACCTCGCATAGTCTTGTTTGATGTATTAAATCCGTTTGTGGATTTGGTTGTAAATGATTAGTTTTCTAGAGCTTTGATTTTGATTCACTCTATTTTCTTCAAACTAATAATATATTGAATGATGTTTAATGTTTGATAAATGTACTTATGAAATTATTTGTTTCCTCTAATTGTAGCCGATTGGATGTGACATTTCGTCTGTGCTTCTTTTATCGTGTATTCCTTTTGAGTTCAAAGCTACTGATCATGATGCTGTATAATTTCTTTCAGTGAACAGCAACGCTTCAAAAGCTAAATCTGATACTTCTGACCCATCTTCAAGCTTGACTTCTAGTGCGGATGGTTTGTATGTTTTGAATAGTTTGATGATTGCGAATCGGTCAATGCACAATTGCAAGGTTTTTAGCTACTATGGAGGGGTGCAGAAGGTCACTGCTCTTCTGAAAGGTACCAAAATTTTGCTTTTCTTTCTCTTTTTTCTTTTTTTCCAGGAGGATCCGTTGATTCAGACGTAGCCAAATGATGACTTTCTACCTGCAGATGTTTTTTTCCATGCATTTGTCACCCCTGAGATGTTTATATTAGAGTAGTGAAAGGATTTCATGCTTGTGAATACTTGAAAAGGAAAATAACTGCTTATTGATGGCAAATTTTACCTCCTGCTCAATTGGGGGATCAGATTGTTTTTTTTTCCATTTCCAATGATTGGGATGCCAAATATATTTGGACACAGAAATGTTGAATTTATACTCGTTGCCAGGTGTTAGACGCCGAGCAGACAATATTTGGGATTGCAGGGCTGCAATCCGTGGGATTTTATGCATACAAGTTATAGAGTAATCCTCCTTTATTCTCATAGATGCATATACAGAAACTTGGTTAATACTTGTATATTTTATCCTATTGATTTTTTCAAATAATGGCCATGTAATTAGTTATTTCCGAAGATAGAGTCTATTATATCATAAAATATTGCTGTGTATATAGGGGTGGAAGGTTCTCAATGAAATATGCACAAAATTTGAATATGTACTTCTCTGTTCATGGTATCAGAGCCCTAAGAAAGAAATTCTTGGGCTTCCTCTGGTTCTCTTTCAAGAACCAGTTCCTAAGATAAAATTCTTAGTTGCAGTTCCTTTATAACAATCGACATCTATGCCTTCCTCTCAGCTCAAAAGCTTCCACCACTGCCATACGGAGAACCAACCGTTGTCTTCACCAATTTGGAGCACTGTCGGCGATTTCCACCACCGCAAGGAAAACCATAATAGGAGGGGAACTGTTCATCAACTTCAAGAGAAGAAAAAAACTTCATTATGAAAATTAAAGATAAATTCTTCAATATTAGAAAATTTTCACCAACCAATTTGTTCTAACCAAGCCTTAATGAGGGAGGACCAAAATTTTTGATCTTCATTCTAATTGAATGGAATAACTTATCTTGTTTGGTCCCAAATTATGCAAAAATTTTTCAATTAAAAAGGAAAGTTATGTCATCTTATTGGCCTTGTATTGAGCAAAGATGATCTTGATTTTGATGTGTGGGATATAGAGGTTCCTAAATTATGTCATAGCTATGTAATTTAGCAATTTTGGAAGTCAAAGGGAACCTGCATGTTCTAACCACAATCAAATATACTTGGGATGATATGAAGCAAACATACTCAGATGTTCATGATGCCACATTATTCCATGAAATTCATACAAAAATTAAATCACCAAGACAGGCGTTTTTTTTAGTTCCTGCATATTATAACAAATAAAAAATTCTTGTCTTATAACTCAATTACTATAAATTTATTAAAATGAGGTGCATTGAAGATGCTGTTATACTATAAATTTTTGTAAAAGAAAGTGTATGAATTTCTAGTTGGATTAAATGTTAAATATTACAAATATGTATCCAAATACTTAGAAAGGAGTCCCGTCCAAACTTAATCAAGTGAATGGAGAGATGGCTAGAAACAGTACTCGTTGGAGAGAGTGTTGCTCAAATGGCTGCCCTTACATTAATTGAAGTCATGATTGAGTAGTCTAAGCCCAAATTTGGTCCATTAATCGGGAACACATGTTCTCTAATTATTGGAAACAGAACCTACATACAAAAGAAATATGCTGGAAACTCATGGGAAGCATTCATTGAACAAAAACAAGCCACCATATTAAAACCAATGCAAACAGGATCAAACCAACACCACTTTTATGTAAGAAAATATGGCTACAGAAATAGAAGGGATAAAGCTGAATGAAATAGGAAAACTTTGTGCCTAATTGCTTTTGACAGACTAATAGGTACATGTTCTTTGCCTTAATCAGGTGATGATTTTACTTCATACCCCATATGTGCTTGTTATAACTGTTCACATGAAATATGGATGGTAAACTCAAGGGAAAAAAATCACAACGTATAATAGTTGATGGAACCTTAGCTTCTATTATTGGAAAGAGAGATGAAATTTGCACCTTCCCTTTCATTATCGTATATTCTCCACGCAACCAAATTAGCAATGAACTTGTTATCTATTCAAAATTAATATTTTGCCTGAATTGCGTTGTAGTGTTCTACTTTACGTCTTTACTCATTGTTTATGTTAGGTTCGGGCCATGACAAAGATGATTGAGCATGTTAAGGAATAAGAATGACTACTATTTGGATACTAGTAATAATCACATCTCTCAGTCTTAATTGTATAAAATTTGAATAGAAAAAAGGTATAGATTTGGCTCCATTAAATTAAGATGGGTCATCTATTGTTTAGTGTCATATAATCAACGCTTCTTATATTATTTAATAAATAGAAGTTGAGAGTTCCAAATGTAAGGTGGGCCATCCATCGTGTGCACAGTCTCTTTGATGAAGTATGACCACAATGATGTGAGTTTGCAAAGTTGGATACAACCAAGGTTTTAAAAATCGGACCGGACCGACCAGTTCAACCGTGGACCGGCCAGTTCAATCGTGAACCGGCCAGTTGTCCGATCCGGTCCAGTTCAAAATCCGGCTTCGCAAAGAACCGGCCTGAACCGGATTGAGCCGACAGTTCAACCGGTGAACCGGCGAACTGGTCCAGGTTCGAAAGAACCGGCCGGTTAAATTTTTTTTTATGTTAAATAAAATATAAACAATATATTTATTTTATTAAATTTTTTAAAAATAATTTTTTATTAAATAATGAGATTTTTAATATCATAATATATAGATGTCATCTTATTAAATAAGTTTTTAAGAAAAGAGAGAACTATATAAAGAGTTAAAAGGCAATCATCTCATACTCCTTTTTGATGTGGGACTAAAAATGTTACATGAATGCTATATGAGCTTGAATGTAAGTTTGAGCTTTATTGGACCAATTTGGGTTTGTGTTGGGCCACAAATTTAGGCTGGATTGGGTGCAAAGTTTTTTAATTTATATTATAAATTTGTTATAATGTATATTAATATAAATTAATTATATTATAATAAATATTATTCTTATTACAACATTTGTAAATTAAATTATTTATATTAAAATTTTTTTAATTGTATGTATATTTTATTAAAATTCTCACTTTATTATAATATATAAATTAAATGTAAAATTAATCATCTAATAAATTATTAGATATTCATAAATTATATTTAATTAAAACTATTATGTTTTATAAATATATAATTATATTATAATATTATTCATCATATTCAATTTTAATACTTAATTATATTGAGAGAAATAATCTATTAAAATTACTATAGTGTAAATTCTGTAGAATTATATTGTTTGAGCTTAGATACCCATAATTATTCTATTAATGTTAATTACTTTTTAATAATAATTATTAATTTATTGCATCATCCGGTTCGGACCCCGATTCATAATCGGTCGAAAACCGTTGAACACTTGAACTCTTCTTCTTCCGGTTCGTTGACAGTCCGATTTTTCAAAGCCTTTGGATTAAAAACAGACAATTTTTTGGTATTTATTTTTCTGATTTTCTAGAGAGAGGCAGAGATGTCTCTTTCCTTTAGAAAGAGAAAGGGCAGATTTGAGGCTTTGTAGTACATCACAACTTTTTAAAGTAGCTTCTTAGTTACAAAAAATTCCTTAAAACTAAAAATTTTGTGCTAGAAAGCTGCTTCAAAAAGTAGTAAGAAAGCTGTCCCAAATGAAGACTGAGAGGAGTCTTACTTTTTAGAGAGAGTGGCTAGATAATGGCTGGAATAAATATCTTTATATTTAGAGTGAGAAAGTGAGGATGGAGAGATTAGAGAGAAAAATAGTATCTCTTTTTGTTCAGAGAGTTTTTTTATAGAGAGAGTGAGAGGAAGAGGGAGAGAGTGTGGGAAAGATAGAGAGGTTGTGGGAGTGGGAGAGGTGGAGGTAGAGAAAGAGAGAGGTTAGGGAGAGTTTTAGTAGTTTTTTTTTGCCTTCTCTATTATTATTATTATTAATATTAATTTAAAATGATGTCCTTTTGCTACAGTAAAAGGACATGGTACATTGTCCCCAAAAGATTATAAAATTAGTAATTTTGATTAATTATTTTTAGTTTAAATGCATATAGATTTGTTTGCCAAGTTTTTGTCGCTTGTGGGCATTAAATTCCATCCTCATTTTGCATGCAAAGGTGGATTTTTCATCATTTCTTTCATGCGGGAAACCGAACAATACATGCATCTTTTTCTTGTTATATTGATGATCTAGACACAATGGTGTTGTCCGTTTCATGAATGGTTGAAGTTCAGGTGACTTCGCATAACATCGCGTCTATAATTCGTCATTTTTTATTGTGTTTGATCGAATTGAATGTGAGGAGGTTTCTTGGTAGTTTCGGTTATCTGAATCCCTCCGCGCAATCTGTTTTGCAAACAATGACCTTCAAGTGATTTCGCGCAACATTGAAGTTTTTGAACTTGTTTTGAATGACGTCATTTTGTCGATGATCATTCTTGCTAGACTTGCTTGAGTCAATTCTTAAACATATATGGAGGTCAACTTAAATAAGTTAAACTTCTAATTGAATCTTGAGCTGGATAGAGTTGGAGTCATCTTCAACCTTCCCATTTAAGCATTCATAGTAGCATTAGGGAATAAAATGGTAACATCACAAGTAGAATGGAGAGTAAGGATAGTAGTTGGGACATTGACTGGCTGGCATATTGTTCTCTCAGTCATGGCTATTGAAGTTCCAGTTGGCCCAATATAAATGTTTGATGAAACATGAAATAATGAGCAGGAATGATTGGGCACCCACCAACGAACCTACAACGACATTGGAAGCCATTATCTTAAGAGAAGAAATTTCAGGAGTATCTCAAGCTTGAGAACTTCCCATAAGAACAAATATAAAGGGAGCATCTCCCAACAGGTTGGAAGGCCAACCCATTTTATTGTGTAGTCAATCCATGATGCAATTGACAACCCAAAATATGAAACCGAACTACCTGATTTTGACTAATCCTTAGTGTGATATTTCCAGGGAGGGAGGGAGCCACCTCTATGTAGCAAACTCTTTGTAGGCCGTCCTCATGCATTGAGCTCATTGGTATGGCCAGCCCATCTTTGTTGTAGCCAATCCATTATATCGTGTAGTCAATCCATAATGCAACTACCAACCCAAAATATGTAACCAAACTACCTGATTATGACTAACTCTTTATATCTAGCAAACCCAATAGCAAATTCATATAGCCATTTTAAGATTGCTTGATACGGTCAATTGAAAGCTTGATGTAGACGCACTTATGGAGTAGTTCCACATCCAGGCTTCCATATTTTGGAGCTGCTATGACTGTTCTTCCTGGATCAAGCATTAATATCCTTCTTGCTCAAGTCACTGAGCATACTGACGCTGTCCATTTGTGATGCACATAATCTTTTTTCCGATGGTTCATTTGGTGTTGAAGGTTAAGCCAATCCCTGATAGTTTATTTGAATCCGATATGCTTTTATTGATGGTGGTGGTGGTGTTGTCGCTGAGTTATCATGGGTTGTTTTACATGGACTCTAGTCATAATCTTAGCCAACTATTTCAGTATATTCCACAATTTGAACACATCCGGGCTACCTATTTATGTCTAAAAATGTAATTTTCATTTGTTCAGCTGCAGTTGTCAGGCTCAAGACTCTGACTAGTACACTAGGTGTTGATGAGCAATTATCGAGTTCTATTGTCGAGAAGACAAGGTTTCTGCAGAAGATACTTTGTTTTGCTGTCTCAATAGTTTTTGGCTTTATGCAATTGTATTCTTCTGGAAACAAGAATGTTGAACATATGGATTTTATGAGACAAACTTCCCTGAGACATAGCCTGCCTGAAGTTTCTGCAAAAAACCGGAAGGACTCTATTTCTGAAGCAAGGATTTACTGGCAGCAAAAAGCAATTATATTGGTTATGGAAGCAGGTGGTGTCAATTGGTTAGTAGGTAAGGTATGCTCTTCTCATTTTAATCTAGTTAGTAGTTAGTTTGTTGTAAATCACTTTTATGGGTTTAGTGTTCTATACTTTGTTTTGATAAACTGCTTTGCTACTATTACTGTTTTCTCACCATTGTATTCAGGCCAACAAAGGGCATCCGATATTTATAATATATCAATTTAATATTTATTGTCCTTGGAAAGCATGTTGTTCTAAAAAATATTGCTTGAACAGGGTGAGGAGACTCAACTTTCGTTTTTATGGTTTTGCAAAACTATAGGATTTACTTTATTTAGACTCTTGGTATTTTTACTCTCATTTTTTTCAAGTGTTAATTCTAGATTAATGACAAATCTCAGACTTTGTGCTAAAATTTTAATATTGCTAGTTCTAGGGTTCTTCTAAGAATCGATGTGCCTTGACCTAGTTTAATTATGATGAATTGTTGGCAAGTATTAGCTAAGTTTTTAGTATTATGCGATGCATCAAAACTTAATCTTTTTATGATGTGCAATAAGTTAAGGTTGAACCAAAAACAATTTACTCTAGTGATATTCTCCCTGATTTTTTAGGGCATACAAATCGTGTTCGAGTCTTGACAACTGCTGCATGAATGATTTCGCTTGTTCTTGTGTGGTTTTAAATCTATATATGGTCTTGTGCCAAAAAAATATGTTGTTTGTCTTGCTCCCATCTTATCATTAATAAAATATCTTAGATAGGTTTCTAATGTTTTTCTTAAACCATGTTAGGATTTACTATTGTAAAGCCCCATGTTATATTATACAAATTATTGTTTACATTGGCTCAAGATGTCCTATATTTTGTTGAGCCTTGCTGTTTTATCTATTTTTTTTTAATAACTTCTTAAGGGATCATCCATCCCAGTAGTGCTTCGCAATGGGGTTGCTTAGCTGTGGAGTTCTCAAGGAAAATTCACCTGTCACACTAAATGACGCCTTATGCATTATGACAAACTCTTTACTTCTATAGTCCATTTTTCTCCACTTTTGATGTGGGAATTGGTTCATTGTTGTTCCCCTTTTCTCCTTGAACTATGTTAGGAGCTGCTCCTTATCGGATCAACCCCTTCAGATTTGGGATGCCAAAATTAGGGTATTATTTGCAAGCAATGCACACTTTAATGCAATGGTGGAAAAATGTAGGCAACGCTTGGTTGAGTATAAATTAGGATCATATTTGGTAAATGGTGTTTTGTGCTTTATTAGAAAAGCTAATGATAATTAGGTAGCACAACAATTGGGAATGAATATCACATGTTTTGTTTGAAACTTAATGGAAAGAGGAAAAAATCTATTTGCATTGAGGAACAGTGAAAGATTGTTTGTTGCAAAGTTAAACAGAGACATGCACTAGTTATAGTAGTGTGGATAAATAGTTGAAAGATAAATTGTTGAGTAATATAATTGTTAATAAGGTGAATGCTATTTGCTCTGTTAATGTTTAGGGAGTTAAAAGTGTAGCTAGTATTTATGATCCTAAACATAGATAAGAAGAAAGCTTGAAAAAGCAAATTATAAAAGATGAGTGTACAAAGGCTGTTCCGTTTGTAAATCTTTTTTGTTGAGTGTGTGGTCATGTGGAATTGAGAAGATGCTATGATTCATTTTACTGATAAAGCACTTAGAGGTGTCAATTTTGATCAAAATTCAAAATTTGCTCAAGTTTGTTTTCATTTGAAATTTTTTGGATGAATTTTGAATTGTATCATGAGTCAATCTATCAATTCAAGGCTTTTTCTTCAAGCCTTGCATTGCTAAGCTGGCATGTTATTCAAACTTGATTGAAATATTTATATATATATATATGCACGCATACACATGTATAACTCATTTATGCATATCGTTCCTTTTAGATTTCCACTTTTTGCTGGTGCAAATGTTATTTTTTTTTTTGGGTTTTTGATTTGAATAGGATTAATTCTAGCCAATTCAGACTCATCCTGAGTTGGCTTGGATTCAATTATTTTGGTGTTGAATTAACTCTACTTGAAATACAGTTTGATTTCAAGTCGGCTTGAGCTCATTTGAAAATTGAGTTTAGGCCGACTTTCTTGAGCTCAATGGATGTTAGCTTGGTAACCTTGTTTTTAGTTTTATTTGGAATCTATTGAAGTACATATTGACTATTTTTTAGGGAATAAATTAGTATTGTTCTTAACGAGTATTAAGTGATTCTGAGGGAGTTTTTATAATAGAATATTGGATATTTTTTATGGATTATTATCTTTTAAGTGTTAGAAGTAATTATTAAAAAAACATAAGGTGGTTAAATTAAAAAAATGAGGAAATTTTGATCTTCTAGTATAGGTTTATGCAGGCAAATTGAAACCTTAATGTTTGAACCAAACTTGTATGGAGTAAACTTACTTATCATTTTAGGAAGCTTTTCCTTAAATTACATAAGAGTTTGAAAGTAAATTGCGTATAAATAAGGTGATCCGTTGTTGGAGTGAAGAAGTATGAAAGGTTATTAAGAAATTTCTTTTTTTAAAGAATGGAAAAAACAATGCTATTGAGAAAATAATCATTAGGAAGAAGCTATGTAAGTTTTGTAGAGAGTGCGTTGAAAGAAAGAATAAAATGCCTGATTGATGTAAGACAAACATGCGAAGAGTCGCTTTGGAATTGTAACAATAAAGATTGAATTTGCACATTGCTAATTAGTAACTCATGCTTCAATCAAGTTAAATTCTTAGAAAAAAAAGTTAAATTCTTAGAACTTTTTGTTGGAAGATTAGGTAATGGTAAGCCGTTACAAGAGGTTAGCAAGACAATTGCAATAACAACAAAAATTAAATAGTAGTACTAATAAATAGTAATCAAGAATCCACAGCGTAACATCAAGACATGGTCACTTAGAGTTCCTACTCACTCAATCACTCTTAGGCTTTAGCGGTTGAAGACGAAGCATACGATGAGAGAAACTGCCACTAGGAAGATGGTACCGAAGGTCTTTGTTGATGGAGAGGTAGCCACGGACGGAGAAGGGGTAGATCTCCCAACGAGAAGCCAAGGCGTCTTAGGCTTTTGGAGATCGATCGTCTCTGCTAAGCAATAGAGGATGCGCTTGACATATCTTTCCACCGTTTCGTCGTATTCCCAGTCAGGCTCGTAGAAGGGGGAGAGGAGGATGTTGATTTCCCCTCTGTCGTTGTAAGCAAAGCCGTGATCAACCTCAGGACCGGTCATGCACCATAAGCATGAGGAGAGAACACAAGGAGGAAGACAAAAGAGAGAAAAGGGTGGTGGAGAGGGAGGCCGGCAGCTTGAATAGGAGGGAGAGGGATGGGGACGGCTTGGAGAGGTGTGGAGGAGGCTAGGTTTTGAAAGAGCTTAGGTTAGGTTAGGGTGGAGGTGTGATTTAATCTAAATATGAAATTAATCTCAGATTTTGATTAAATTTGGAGGGAAGTAATTTGAAATTTGATTTCAAATTAATTGTAATTAAGGCATTGATTGAGGATTAATGGTGGGGAGGGGAGCCATAGATGGGGCCGACGGCATGGAGAGAGAGGGAGGAGGGGATTATGGGGAATTAAGTGCTTTCCAAACGAGCTTGGACAATTAGGAGGGAAAATAATGAGTCCTCAAATTAAATTTTGTTTGGATTTCAAATTTGAAAACTTTCCTTATTTAGATTTCGCAAATAAGGAAAGTTTTCGAATTTCAAAATTTGAATTTCAAAATTCACCAATTCCTTTCTTTAATGCTAGATCTAAATTAAGGACTCATTATGATGATTGAAATCATCATAATGGTTTGGCTAATGAGGATGGGGCCGGCGGCCCAAGGGTGGAGGGGAACTTGCCGTCGGGTTGGGGTGGGCTTTGATGGTGGTTGGACTTGAGGTGGGGAGCTAGAGGATGAAATGGGTGGGAGTGGTTAAGTAACCGGTGGAGGTGGGCTTGGGGAGGGGCTGGCGGGTGGGGAGGGGAAGGAGGATAAGAGAAACACAAAGAAGATAGAAAATAAGAAATTACCACGAGCCGTGGACTCTTACAACGACTGGTGGGCCTTACACTTGCTCACCTCGAACTCTCTTCCTTCTTTCTAATGATCACACAAGAAGAAGAAAAACACAAGAAATTTCATTAAACATTCATCATCCCATTACAACACATAGGGCCACTATATATAGACCTCTAACATGAAAAGAAAAGTACAAACTTGCCCTCCGGGTACAATGACAAGACACTCCCCATAGGGTAAAATCGGAAAACAACAAAACTAAATAAAACATCATGCATACTACAAGACTATATAAAACATAAAGCGTCAAAAGTAAAGACGCTGAATCGTAGACGTCGATCTACAATTCCATCGCCGGTACACGTGTCTGAATCTCTGAGTGATGTCCTCATCACTAATCTCATTAAGATGATTGCTATATAGTGATGTCCTCATCACTAATTTCATTAAGATGATTGCTATAGAAGTTATAAAAGCTTATGAAAATATGTGTACATAAGTAATAAGATAAGTTTTGTATATTAAGACTGCACAAAATATTAGAAAGTCAAAGTAGCGTATTTTATAACATGAAGAAAGCTGGTTGTTACTTGTACTAATTTTGGAAAATCTAAAAATTTTGTAATAAGGGTTTTAAACAAAGCTAAAACTATAATTCTTGAATATTTGTACAAGGGTTTAGGAAGTAAGAAAAGTGAGAGTTAGATGTATAAAAGTGCTATAGTAAGAGATTATAGGTCTAGAAACCTAGATCATATTAAGTGGTTCTGGAATAAAGGTAATATGATCTTAGTTAAAGATGAATACAATAAAAACATATGTTTTTTGTAAAAATCATTAATTCAATGATCCAGAAATATGCAGTAGAGTTTGCTTTGAAGAAGAGGAAAATTAAAAATTTTAATTCTAAATGTACCAGTTATTAGTATTGGGTAAATAACAAGTAATGTTGGGCTGTTGGCAATAATTCGGTTTTGGAACCATATCGATGGAATTTTTTGGACTATAGAATGCT